GACCGCATTCGACGCGTTGCCAGGGCGAGCCAGCGTCGGCCAAATCCCACCAGCCCTTTGGGCGTGAGTGGTTTAGAGAGCCCGCTCTGTTCAACCCCCCTTCTTCCCCTCCGGGGAGGGGTTTACCCCTCCCCCTACCCCCTCGCCCTGGGCCTGGAGAGGGCGCCCCGCGGGTCGTTGGAGGGGTCTTTTTTCGACTCCTGGGAGTGCCAGAATTCGACACCCCTCACGAGGATTCTGGCCCCGACGGGGGGAGGCAGAAAAGTGCTTGCCCCATCTGTGATCGATCGCCCGACAGATGGCCCCAAGATTCCTCCCAGACCCCTCCCAGAGAGCCCCAAGAGGCCCCAAGAGGCCTCCAAGAGGCCCCCAATATGCCCCCAAGAGGCGCCCAAGAGGCCCCAAGAGGCTCCCCCGAGGCACCCAAGACGCTCCTGGAAGCCCCTGGAGCCGCCAAGAGGCCCCCAAGACGCCCCAAACGGCCTCCAAGAGGCCCCCAAGAGGCTCGAAGAGGCTCCCCCAAGGCACCCAAGACGCTCCTAGAAGCCCCTGGGGCCGCCAAGAGGCCCCGAAGACGCCCCAAAAGGCCTCCAAGAGGCCCCCAAAACGACTCGCACCACGACGAGGGCCCCGAACGACTCACACCACGAGGAGCCCGAACGAGTCACACCAGGAGGAGGGGCCCGAACGACTCACACGACGACGAGGGGCCCGAACAACTCACACCACGAGAAGCCCGAACGACTCACACCAGGACGAGAGCCCGAACGACTCACATCACGAAGAGCCCGAACGATTCACACCAGGAAGAAGGGCCCGAACGACTCACACCAGGACGAGAAACCCCAAACGACTCAAACCACGAGGAGCGGTTTCTCTCCCTCCTCCTCCGCCTCGCCCTTCTCCCGCCCCCCCCCCACACAGGGAGGATGTGCAAGGGGGCGGGAGGAAGGAGGAACAGGGGAGACATGCGGGGCCAAGCGGACACAAGCCTGAAAAACACGACTGCCGGCATGCTTCGCAAGAGTTGCTGTTGTGAGATGGGCTGGTGGGGATACGCGAAGCGTAAAGAATTGAAATCGCCGCGTGCCGCCGCCAATCTGGAGCAGTGATCGCCTCTCGCCCTAGTAAGACCCCTCTGATAATGACCGCATATTCCCGAGACTTGTCCTGCTGTCACACCATGGTTATGCGCAATGTATTGTCGAGCGTCCGCTTTGCCCTGCCGCGCAAGTGCGCTGGGCGCTCGTCGCGGAAATAGAATAGACGCCGAGGGGGAAGCTGGGGCGGACGACGAAATAAGAACAACCGCGGCACCCCCACTGCGATCGTGACCTTCCCTTACTTCTTCGAAGGACCCAAACGCGTGATCATCGGGCGCCGCCCTGTCGCAAAGACTCCGAGCTCGTCGACGTCCTGTCGCGCGTCTTGAGAGGCAGAGATCGAACTGGAAATGCCAGCCCCGTGGTGGCTGGAGACTGTCAACGTCGCCGTCTGTCCGCGATTTCGAAGGAGGGCGCGGGCGCTCCAAGAGACGGGCGAGATCGTTTCCGGCCAGGGCGGAGCCACGCGCTCAACCTTGTAGCGGAATAGCCCCTCAAAGACGCGAGACGTGCTCGATGCTCTGCTTGGGGATCTGCGGCGGCCGCCCCCTGGGCCATCCCCGCTGCGCGAGCTCGGCGCCGCGCCGGCAGCAGTGGGCGGGGCCTCGGCCCGGCGATGGTTCCAGCCGCGAGGGCGCGAGTGGGAATGGGAATGGGAATGGTCAAATCGCGCAGCGAAAGGATTCGTTAAGGAGGGATGCGGCCTCTGGCTCGTTGCTCCGACAACGACAAAAACTTTGGCCAGGGCCCATCTTCGATCCTGTTTAAATAATCATGCCGGGATTTGCTGGTTCCACGTAAACACTCGGATGCAAGCCCTCGGATCTGGTTGGAGGGGTAAAATCCGCAGGCTCCGCAAAACCAAAGCTTCAAGGTTTCGTGAAACCGAAGGCTATGAGAGGAATGCAGCCACCCCCCCGCACGATGGACTTTGCGCCCTGGAGGTATACTTGAAACAGCGCCGTCGGCTTGCTGCAAAGAAACACAAGGCGTTTTAAGCCAGTCGTCGAGACTGTTTTTGGTCGCGGACCGCTTACATCTCGAACGCTGGCGGCCACTATCACCAAGGATATGCTTGGTGCAAAATCTGGCCACAGTTGACGGGGCAGGCGGATTGGCGCGGCATTTCTCGAACTCGCGCCTAGGCCTCGGGCCAACGCTCATGGCATCTATGGTGGCCCGTAACAGGCCTGACCAGCTCCGCTCTTTTCTCGTGAACTGCAACGCGTGTGCGCACGCACTCAGGCAGCCTGTGCCCCTTGGCTGCCTGGCCTGCGAGCTCGTCCGCTCGCTTGTTACCGTGCCACATCCACGGTGCACGTCCTCGCTCTGCTGATTCAGCTTCCGACAAATGTGAACTCATACAAATGACTGAAACTCGCCCGTGTCGTGTCGAGATCCAGTTGCATGCATATGTCGACCGATGGCTTGCCACAGGTCGACGTCCGATTGAGCATCGCGAGGGCGGAGGTCGACACTAGAATTGCAGCCTTTCTCCACCCACTCGTTATCTGTGAGATACACAGCCGCGCCCTGAGTGCATCTGGGGACATACTCTAGCACGGCCAGCTTGCCTCTATAAGCTGTCTGGCGGCGTCCGCTCAGTGACGAGCGCGCCTCTAAGCCAAAAGTGACTGGCTCACGCTGTCTGATGACGGTGAAACCCATGCCGACGCGCCTCAACTTCGGCGAATGAATGTCGGCCCCACCGCTGGCGCCTCCACAAATGTAGATCGGCTGATCGCCGGTTCCGACAGCGAGGGCTGGGTCATCACCATCTCGATCTGGTGTGAAGGTCCAGAGCTCCTGCACCATGGGTGCTGGGACCTCCGCCCACTCCCGCGGGAGGAGCCCTCGCAACCAAAACCATTCGTACTGCTCATGCTGGCTGAGGGCCTGACTCGCGTACTGGTCGGAGTCGCGGTAGGCCTGGTGCCCCGTGTTCTGAAGGCAAAGCCAACACCTGTGCAGCTGCGTCTCGATGTGGTGCTCACCGTGGAGCAAGCACCTGGGACATAGCTTGAACCCAGGATCGTCCACGTCGAACCTCGCTCTGGGCCATGTCCCTCCTGTGGCCACTGCAAGCATCGTCTCTGACCGCTGCGCCCCTCTGGGCGCTTCGGCCAGGAGTCTGAGGAAGGCGCGAAGGGAGCCATTGTCGATGCCCTGCGCCGCTCCCTCTCCACTGTCATTCGACGCCGCCTGCTGCCATCGGAAATCTGTCACCGATGTGGTCAGGTCTGCTAGGATGTCGCTGAAGTCCTCGCAACCTGTCAACTGTGCGTCATCAAAGTGCCAGACTGACGATCTGATCTCCTCGTTGGAAACCCAAAGTCTTAGCCATTCGCTCAAGCATTCTCTGCTCAATCTGACGGCTGAATCTTGGCTCGGGGCTCTCAGCCGCGAGGGCGTGGAACACAGCGAGGAGAGGGAGGAGGAGGAGGAGGAGGAGGAGGAGGAGGAGGAGGAGGAGGACGAGAATCAACTGGAACCATAACCAGCTGGAGCCGAGCCATAACCAGGTGGTTCCAGCTGAAGAACATGCGATCGGTGTAGTGCTCGCACATACAATGTGTCATTTGCTTGCCCGAAAGTTTAATGTTGAGCTGGATTGGAAACTTGCCAGAATCGATGTGTAATTGCCCAGGGCCCCCAAAAACGGCAAGAAACAAAAACGGGCCCACTGACCTGTGCCAGGAAAAAAGAATACCGCCAGTGTCTTCTGAGCTCTCTCCCCGACGACACCGGTTGCGCTCGTGAGCTGCACTGAACAGGCGAAGCGGTTGTGACAAACTCTTCGCCACCCACTGGAAATCCCTCCGTGGTATCAGCGGTATTGGGCCACGCCTCGACGGAGGGAATCGCATCCGTCTTGCGTACCATAGCGGGGGCCACCACTCTAAGGATCGATCCGTCCGTGTCTGGTCCATGGAGGCACGCATGTCGTCGCTCTGCCTGGCGAGGTCGGCGGTTTTGTCGTCCAGAAAGCCAGCGCGCGCGGGGATGATGTCGATCAATGCCTGGGAGCGGCGTTCGATGGAGACCATGTCGGGCTCGATGGGCTTCCCATTATCATTCGTGCACGAGCCGAAGATCTATTTAAGTACTGCCTCCACTGCTGTGATGGCCTGAAGGGCAACCGCGATGGCGGTGTCGGAACCTGTCTTGGCGCGACCAGCCATGAGCTCGCTGAGCTCGACCTTGAGCTCTGAGAACTTGGAGGAAACCCTTTCATCCATGAGGCCGTGCATGTGCGGGTCCAAGGAATTCGGGCTCGTCCCGTCGTCACTGTCTTTCGAGGCGGAGCCGTGGCAATATGTGGAGCGATCATCACGCGCTGGTGAACCAGCTTGACCAAATCTGTAACTAGGGGAGGGGATCACGAGTACCATTGAGGGCATTCGCCTTCTTCTTCTTGCGTTGGCATGCGTCGGATGGCAGATAAGACATCGGGAACTGGAAATGCTTCAATTTACCCACCGCCCCGTCCGCCGACAAAACGAACGCACGATGCTCCGACAGGAGATAACAGAGAACCGAGGTCTGGCCGCGGAACAGCGTTCTTCGATTCACCTCCAGGGCAGCGGGCATCTTGAGCCGAAGCGGCTACGGACAGGAAGGGGGGGGAGGAAGAGGAGGGGGAGGAAGAAGAAACACAGCTCTGGGCACAGTGGCTGTCGGGCCACAGCTCGGGCCTCGGGCAGCCGCTCGGGACGATCCCGGGCAGACCCGGAGCTCTCTCGGCGAGGCGCCGCTGCAGGAGCAGCACCCCGCGGCAAAAAAAAGCGGGCCAGCAGGAGCCCCCGAAGACTTTGCGAGGAGGAGGAGGACGAGGACGAGGACGAGGCGAGGAGGACGAGGCGAGGAGGACGAGGGGGAGGAGCACAAGGTGCTCGCCTGCCGCTGCCTGCCCGAGAGGTCCCGCCACACGTCGTCCGCGAGCAGGGGGCGGAGCTCCGCGAGGGGGGGCTCCCCGCGCAGCAGGGCCCCCAGGAGGCTGGTGTAGGCGGTCTCCGCACCTGCGGAGGAGGCGCCCCCCGACGGCGTCGCTCGTCGCTCGTCGCCCGTCGCCGTCGTCGTCGTCGTCGGCGGCGTCGTCGTCGTCGTCGACGCCGTCGGGGTCGTGGTCAGGGCAGTCTTCGTCGTAGTCGTCGTCGTGATCGTCGTCGTCGTCGTCGGTCGCTCGCCGTCGGCGTTGTCGTCAGAGTCGTCGTCGTCGTCGCTCGTCATCATCGACGTCGTCGTTGTCGCTGTCGCCGTCGCCGTCGTCGTCGTCGTTGTCGGCGTCGTCGTCGTCGTCGTGGTCGTCGTGGTCATGGTCGTCTTCGTCGTCGTCGTCCGATGCTCGGCGTTTACGTCGTCGTCGCTTGTTGTGGTGGTCGTCGTCGACGTTGTCGTCCGTTGCCTCTTCTCTTCTAGGTCGTCGTCAACATCGTCGTCGTCGTCGCACGTTGTCGTCGTCGTCGTTCCTGGTAGTCGTCGCCGTCGTCGTCCATTGCTCGTCGTCTTCGTCGTCATCGTCGCTCGTCGTCATCGGCGTCGTCGTCGTCGACGCTAGTCGTGGTCGCGGTAAACTGCTCGCGTCGTCGCCGTCGTCGTGATCGTTGTCGTCGTTGTCGTCGTCGGACTCGTCGTCGTCATCCTCGTTGTCGTTGTCGCTCGTCGTCGTCTTCGTCGTCGTCGTCGCTCGTCGTCGCTCGTCGTCGTGGTCATAGTCGTCTTCGCCGTCGCCGTCCATCGCGCGTTGTCTTCGTCGTTGTCGTCGTTGCTCGTCGTCGTCGTCGTCGCCGTCGCCGTGGTCATGGTCGCCTTCGTCGTCGTGGTCCGTCGAACGTCATGTTCGTCAGAGTGAGGGGGCCAAACGGTCATTCATTGTCCCTTGGGGCATGGCTTAAAAGCGAATCCGTGGTGAGGATTCTGGTTGTTGCGTTATTGTTGTTTCTGCTATTCTTGTTGTTGTTGTTTTTGTGTGTTGTCGTCGACCCGGCCCGCGACCCACCCGCGACCCACCACGCGATCCACCCGCGACCCACCCCGCGACCCGCTCGCGACCCACCCGCGACCCACCCGCAACCCACCCGCGACCTGGCCCGCGACCCACCTGCGACCACAGTCGACCCACCCGCGACCCACCTGCGACCCAACCCGCGACTAACCTACATTGTTTTAACGAAAAAAACGGCGCCTGCAGCGGGCTCGTTGTATAGCTTGAAAATTTTGCGCCTGCGGCGGCGTTCTTCAGAGCCTCGCAGACTGCAGACATTCCCGCCGCCCCCTCACTCTTATCCGCAACTGCGGGGTGCTAAGTATTATTCGTCGTCGTTGTCGTCACTCGTCGTCGCTCGTCGTCGTCGTCGTCATCGTCGCTCGTCGTCTTCGTCGTCATCGCTCGTCATTGTTGTCGGCGTTGTCGTCGTCGCTCGCCGTCGTCGTCGCTGTTCTTGTCGTCTTCGTAGTCGTTATCGTCGTCACACCGCCGTCGTCGACCGTCGCTCGTCGTCATCGTCGTCGTCGTCGTTCGTCGTCGTCGTCATCCGTTGATCGTCATCGTCGACATCGTCGCCGCCGTCGTCGTCGTCGTTCGTCGTCTTCGTCGTCGTCATCATCCGGCGCTCGTCGTCTTCAACCTCGTCGTCGTCGTTGCTCATCGTCGGCGTCGTCGTCGACGTCGTCGCTGATCGTGCTCGACGTCGCCCGGTACTTATCGTCTGCGTCGTTGTCGTGGTCGTTGTCGTAGTCGTCGTCGGCATTGTCGTCGTCTACGTCGTCGTCGCCCGTCGCTCGTCGACGTCGTCGTCGTCATGGTCATGGTCGTCTTCGTCGTTGTGGTCGTTGTCGTCTTTGTCGTTTTCGTCGTTTTCGTCGTCTCTTGCTCCTCCTTTTCGTCGCCGTCGTCGTCAACGTCGACGTCGCCGCTCGTCGTCGGCATCGTCGTCGTTCGTCGTCGTCGTCGTCGTCGTCTCCGTCGTCGTCCGTCAATCGTCGTCTTCGTCCTTCGTCGCTCGCCTTTGTTGTCTTTGTCATCAGCGTTGTCGTCGTCGTCGCGCATCGTATTCGTCGTCGTCCGTTGCTCGTCGTCATTGTCGTCGTGGTCATCGTCATCGTCATCGTCATCGTCGTCGTCGTCGTCGCTGTTGCCGTCGTCGTCGTTCGTCGTCATCGTCGTCGTCGTCGCCGTCGTCCGCCATTCGTCGTTGTCATCGTCGTCGTCGTTGCTCGTCGTCGTCGTCGGCATCGCTCTTCGTCGTCGTCGTCGTCGTGGTCGTGCTCATGGTCGTCTTCGTCGTCGCCGTCCGTCGCTCGACGTCTTCGCCGACGTCGTCTGCAACATTGTCGCAGGCGTCGTCGTGCATCGTCGTCGTCCATCGCTCGTCGTCTTCGTCGTCGTCGTCGTCCGTCGCTCGTCGTCGTCGTCGTCGTCGTTGGTCGTTGTCGTCGTCCGTGGCGTCGCTCGTCGTCGTCGCCGTGGTCGTGCTAATTGTCGCCTCCGTTGGCATCGTCCGTCGCTCGTCGTCTTCGTCGCTCGTCGTTGTCGTCGTCGCCGTGGTCGTGGTCGTCTTCGTCGTTTTCGTCATCCGTCGCTCGTCGTCTTCGTCTTCGACGTCGTCGTCGTCCGTTGCTCACCGTCGTCGTCGTCATCGTCGTCGTCGCTCGTCGTCGTCGTAGTCGTGCTAATTGTCGTTTTCGTCGGCATCGTCCGTCACTCGTCTTCTTCGTCATCGTCGTCGTCGCCGCCGTGGTCGTTGTCGTCTGCGTCGTTTTCGTCGTCCGTCACTCGTCGTCTTCGTCTTCGACGTCGTCGTCGTCGTCCGTTGCTCGCCGTCGTCGTCATCGCCGTCGTCGTCGTTGTCGTCGTCGTCTTCGTCGTCATCGTCGTCGTCGTGGTCGTCGTCTTCGTCGTCGTCGTCGTCCGTCATTCGTCGTAAGCATCATGTTCGTTGTCGTCGTCATTATCGTCGTCGTCATCGCCATGGTCGTGGTCGTGGTCGTGGTCATGGTCGTCGTAGTCGACGTCGTCGTTGTCGTCCGCATCGTCCTCCCCCCAGGTCTCTCCCCACCGGAAAAAAGGTCAACATGCGCTTTCGAACCTATAGGGAGGAGGGGTGGGAAATGGCAAGGCGATGAAGTCGCTCTAGGTCTGGGTGCGAGTTGTCGGGCCCAGGGGGGGGCCAAGAAGGGCCCAAGAGGCCCCCCAGACTGCCCCAAGAGCGCCCAAGATCGCCCCAAGATTGCCCCAAGAGCGCCCCAAGAGGCTATTTCGATGGCCCCGACGGAGAAAATTTAGGACCCCCCTTCCTTTGATCGATGGTCTCCAAGATGGCCCCAGGAGGCGCTCCATAGCTCCCAAGAGGGCTCCAAGAGCGCCCCACGAGAGCCCCAAGAGGGCCCCATGAGGGCCTCCAGGCGCCCCCAAAGAGCCCCAACAGGACCCAAAGATCCCCCAAAGAGCTCCAAGAGGGCCCCAAGATGTCCCAAAAGAGCTCCAAGGGGACCCCAATATCCCCCAATACAGCCTCGTAGCTCCAAGAAGGACTCCGATGCTCCTAGATAGCCTCCAAGATGGCTCAACACCCTGCTGCCTCTCCTTTTCTTGCATGCTCTGTTTCACTATATGTGTCTCTTCGTCCCGTTTCCCGTCAGCTTTCATGGGCAAGGCTTCTGAATGGACTGGTGGGGATTCGCGAAGCGTAAACAATGTAGGTTCTAATTGTCAACAAGATTCTAGCCGGTTCCAACACAGAGCCATCGTTTTAGCAGATTCCGACCCCCACTGGCATGACCTTGATTCTACTGGCCGACGTAGTCCCTCCCCCACCTGGGCAGGGATAAATGCTGTTGTCATTTGGGTTTCGCGGGGCCTATCCCTACATAGGAGGGCGGGCTGGTGGGGCTGAGATACCATGGCACAACGGGGGCAATTGGCCGCAACAATAGTTTCCTCGGACACGCGCAAAACATCAGGAGGACCCAAACCAATGCCGCGGCGGCCCCGCGCTTCCAATGCATTTCCAAGATGGCCTCAGAACGCCAAACGACTCGACAATGCGGCAGATTCGTGCCGCGACGACCCCAGCGTTGGTATCCGAGACCGCGGTGTTCGTTCAACCGCGATCGATCGGCGGCCTTCCGATCACGAAATCATTCCTTATGGGTCGATGGTGCTGGCGGCGTTCAGCCTTGAACGCCCGCGGCGGGGTCGCCGCGGCGTCACCGCGACGCGAACCCATTGTGACCTCCAGGCGACCCCAAAAGAACCCACTGATCCGCCCATGATCCCGATGTGGCTTCCAGCATGCCGCTGGGCAACCCCAAGGCGGCCCAACATACATGCAACGTGCGATCACGGGATGTCTCGATGCCCATGCGATGGCCCCCCAGGCGGGCCGCGTCCAAACAGGCCAAAGCAATACCAAATCACGACACCAAGACCCCAGCATGGCACTGATGTGCTCTAAAGATGACCCAAGAAAACTCCAATACGACATCAAACTGTGGGCTTCGCATCCCACTCGGGACTGACGTGAACCGTTTTTTTGTTTGGTGGGAACTGCTATCTCTTGAACTAGAACTAAATTACCAGATGCCAGCCAGCATAGACCCCAAACAGTGTGTGTCTAGAAACCTGTGTGGTGCAATCTAGGTTGTGCAAGATCTGTGATGCATTATATGTTGTGCGGTACTTGTTGTGACGATGATGTTGTCCTCGCGTCGGCGATGAAACTTTTGGAACGATTTCGACATGCGCGAGCGGCCGACGCGCGCGAGTGGCCCGCAAGGTATTCTTTTACAGAGACCGTGCCTCCCCAGCACGCGCGCATGGGCGCTTGAACGATTTAGACCCGTTTCGCAGCATTTGATGAAAATGTTGGAAAGCGATCGTTTCCTTTAGGATTTACAAGAGAGCGCGTGTAGACCCTCCTGTGTAAAAAACAAGTTGCAAACTCATTTGCTGTCATATGTTTCCGGGGTACTCAATGTTGTCATCCTTGCGAGATCTAAGGTTTTAGAAGAATTCCAACATGCGCGCGCGACGACGCCAGAGTGTGCACGCTGGCAAAGGATTCTCTGGAAACTGAAGTTGTTTGATCAGCGAGTGTGCGCGCATAGTGTTATTTGCAGAAGATGTGTGTGGCGGGGGGTCGATAACCGGTTTGAGTGGGATGAAACGAAATCATATTTAGGCTGGGCGGGTGTGCAGGATCATGCACAACAAGCAATAACCGCATGCCCCGGGTAATAAGGCATACGTTCCTTTCCCACGATCCTCATGATTATCCCCGGCCGAGACAGTTTCGGTCAACGGTGGGGACCGGCGGGGCCGAACTTCAATATCGCCGGGTGAACTACGCATCGTAGATCGAATCATCTTATAATGGTTATCACTCCCATCAACATCATCATCGTCATCATCATCTCTCATCATCATCACTATCATCATCGTCACCGTCGTCATCGCCATTCCCATTTCCATGTCATGCGCCGGGTTTGCGACGTCGGAACGTCTAAGACGAAATACGAATGTATATGATTGTTGAGAGGGTGTCTCAAGCGAAACGCTAAATTTTCCGAGCGAACAAGTTATCGCTACAGTATTGTATGTTTCAAGATTCCTATTCCTCCCACCCTCCGAAAGACGCCCCGCAAAAGCGAGCACGGTATCGTTGTAGCCAGGGCCACTCCGTGTATCCGTACACTCCGAAAAATTATGCTCGCTCCTCCTCCTCGTCCTCCTCCTTTTCCTTTATGTTGCCACCTGCTGGGGAAAATTGATTGTCCCGCCGAAATCCGGACCTTTATTTATCCACACCCTGTGATTACTGGGGGCATAGGGTTAGGGAAAAGGTTGCCAGTTAAGTTCTGGAAGGGGGCGGGGGTATCCTAATACTCTGTAGGAAAAGAGAACAGCACCCCCGCCGAATTTGAAGTTGACATCTCCACTGCTCGCGCAATCGTCCCACCCATCCAACCGCAACTTGGTTTGCAAAAACTATGCGGCGGAGTTTGCGATGACTCCTTGACTTTGGCTTGCGCATCGCTGTGGCCGCGCTGGCGCGCGCAGGCTCGCTGAACGCTGGGCTCTTCCCAGCTCGTCTCGCAAGCCGCGCTGACGCGCGGGCAGTTCAGTGCGAGTCGGTCACTTGGGCGGGCGCGGTATCATCGCGACGCCGACAAATAAAGGCAGACACGATGATGATTGTAGCGATGCTGGTGACGACGATGGCGATGACGACGGCAAGGCCAATGACGGCGCCGATGCTGACCACGCCAATGACGATGACGGTATCCACGCGTCGGCGATGAAGGTTTCGGGAAGATTTTAACATGCGCGCGCGGCCGACGCGCGCGAGTGGCCCGCATGGTATTATTTGACAAGGATCGTGCCCCCTTAGCACGCGCTCAAGGACGTTCGAATGATTTCGACATGCGCGCGCGCGGGAGGCCCGCTTGGTCGCATGTGATGAGCATCTTCGAAGCCGACGGCCCCCATAAGAATTCACAAAAGCGCGCAGATCCGTTGGGCGACAATCATGTTGCGAAATTGGCTTGTCTAAGGTTTCAGGACACTCGATTCTAAATGTCCTACGAAACCTGCGGTGCTTGAAGGGTGTCGGCATGCGCGCGACGACGCGCGCGTGTGCACTTGGTCAATGTGGTGCCAAGAGTTCTGGGACATTGCTGATTTGCGATGAGGGATGACGGTGCCAGTCGATACCGATTTGACGCGGTGGATTCAAATGTAGAATGAACGATGGGGCAGACTCATCTGTAAATTGCACATACTCACGGGGGGCAGACAATCTCGGCCTCGGGGGGTGGTAGATCCGAGCTCCTCGTTAACAGAGGAGAACCGATGTGGATCAATGTATAGGCGGCGACGAGGCGACGGCGGCGACAACATAGCCGCCAGAACGGCAGGCAGACCCAGACGACGGGTGACGACAAGGCTGTGATGGGGTGACGACAGCGACAGCATAGTCGCCAGAGCGGTAGGCAAGCCCAGACGACGGGCGGCAACGGGGCGGCGACGGGGCGGCGACGGCGGCGACAGAACCGCCAGGCCCAAGACACGGCTCAGACGACGGGCGGCGACGAGGCGGCGACAGGGCGGCGACGGCGGCCACATATCCGCCAGGCCCAAGACACGGCCCAGGCGACGGGCGGCGACGAGGCGGCGACGGGGCGGCGACGGCGGCTACATAGCCGCCAGACCCCAAACACGGTCCAGACGACGGGCGGCGACGAGGCGGCAAAGGGTGTCTCGACGGCGGCCACGTAGTCGCCAGACCGAAGGCACGGCCCAGTTCCTTAGAACACCCAAAGTGCAGGCACTGTCTGGGGAGTTACATCAGGGGAGCCCTGGCCGGACCGCGCAAGACGAGAGCCTTGGGGGATCCAATGCCTCCTGAGCCCTCGCCCCGCTTCGGGCTGCCGTCGCGGTAAGCTCGTGTCTATGAACAACATGCGCAAACGGGCGCACTCATATACATTCAAGGAACTTCCGGCACGGCGATGTACGACAGACGATGCTGAAACAAAGGGGAGCGAGGTTCGCGCCTCGCGCTGCGCGGAGCGCGAACAAGGTCGCGCTCTCGCGGCGACCCCCAGGGGAGGCGAGGCGGAGGAGGAGGAGGAGGAGGAGTAGGGCGAGGAGGCAAGCAGCTTCGCGCTGCGCGAAGCGCGAACAAGCTCGAGAGGAGGACGAGGAGGCGAACGGCTTCGCGCTGCGCGAAGCGCGAACAAGTTCGCGCTCTCGCGGCGACCCCAGGGGCAAGGCGGAGCAGGAGGAGGAGGACGAGGAGGCAAACAGTTTCGCGCTGCGCGAAGCGCGAGGCGAACGGCTTCGCGCTGCGCGAAGCGCAAAGAAGTTCGCGCTCCTGTGGCGACTTTCGGGGGAAGCGAGGAGGAGGAGGAAGAGGAGGAGAAGGAGGAGGAGGAGGACGACGACGACGACGACGAGGCGAGGAGGCGAACCGCTTCGCGCTGCGCGAAGCGCGAACAAGTTCGCGCTCCTGCGGCGACTTTCGGGGGAGGCGAGGCGGAGGAGAAGGAGGAGGAGACGACGAGGAGGCGAACGGCTTCGCGCTTCGCGAAGCACGAACAAGTTCGCGCTCCTGCGGCGATCCCTGGGGGAAGTGAGGAGAAGGAGGGAGGAGGAGGAAGAGGAGGAGGAAGGAGGAGGAGGAGGACGAGGAGGAGGAGGAGCCTCCTCCTCCTCCGAGGAGGAGGAGAAAGCGGAGGAGCAGGACGAGGAGGCCGAGGAGGACGAGGAGGAAGCGAACCGCTTCGCGCTGCAGACCTCGCCGGCCCAGACCGCGAACCGCGAACCGCGAGGCGCGCAGTGCCATCAGGCAGCCTCCTCCTCCTCCTCCTACTCCTCCTCCTCCTCCTCCTCCTCCTCCTCCTCCTCCTCCCCCTCCTCCTCCTCCTCCTCCTCCTCCTCCTCCTCCTTCTCCCCCTCCTTCCCTGCTCCTCCTCCCTCTCTCCTCCTCCTCCTCCTCCTCCTCCTCCTCCTCCTCCTCCTCCTCCTCCTCCTCCTCCCCCTCCTACTGGAGCCTCCTACGGCGGCCCCAGCGACAAGCCATGCCCTGGAGGCAGATAGCGTGTCGCTCCGCTCCGCGGGGCGCGCTCGGGACGTGGACGCCTGCCCACCCACCATCTCCAGGACCCGCCGATATCACTCGGACAGAATCTCGCAGAATCTTGAGCCCAAGTGCAAAGGCAGAAGATGAGCACGTCTGGTGTTTTAGTACTACAGAGTGGCGGAAATCCAGGAACTCCTCGTACTCCACATCGTTCTCTTTTTTTCCCCCAAGCGTTCCTCAAGGGCTTCGACAGGGCCTGGGGGGAACACAGAGCCCAGTAACTCCGCAAGGTTTTGTCCCAACGTTTGGCCACCTCGGCGCTTCCTCAGGGGGCAAGGATGGTTCGCCGTGGGCGTCTTCGTACCGTCATCGTGGCCAACATGCCTGCGCGCCCTTCAGGCCGACGCGCCGGCGTGCTGGTGCGCCCGCACGTCTGCGCACTCAGGCGCCCACGAGCCGAGCCGGCATGCCCAGGCATGCCCGTGCAGTGCACGTGCGACAACGGCCGTGTAAGGGTCTGGGTCTGCCCCCAGGAGGCGGAGGTGGAGGAGGAGGAGGAGGAGGAGGAGGAGGAAGAGGAGGAGGAGGAGGAGGAGGAGGAGGAGGAGAAGGAGGAGGAGGAGGAGGTGGAAGAGGAGGAAGAGGAGGAAGAGGAGGAGGAGGAGGAGGAAGAGGAGGAGGAGGAGGAGGAGGAGGACCCCCCTTCCCCCCCCTCCAGGGGCCCCAGCAGACTGCCCCACGGATGCTCGAGGCAACCCACAGTGCACTCGCACGGCCAGATGAGAAGAGCCCTTGATCTCGCCAGGGGCCCGACATGGGCAGTGGGTGTGGGCTTCCCTCGCCGCCGGCGCGGCGGCCAACGTTTCAGACGGGGACAGCGACGCGACAGCGACGCGACGACGAGGACGGCGAGGACGACCCCGCGCGAGCGCAAGCGGGGCCTTCCCGGAACTCCGCGGGCCGGTTCCAGTTGATGAAGGCCCCAGGGAAAGGCGGGGGCGATTCCTCCGCAGGGCGCGGAGGCAAAGGAGGAGAGCAAGAGGAGGCTGCCCTCCTCCTGTGTATTCTCTTCCTCATCCCTCCTCCTTTGCCTCCTCTCCTCCTCATCCATCCTCCTGACGCTCGCGAGATGGAGGTCTTGTCGATCCCCGCCTCCTCGAAGCCTTACCCTGTCTCTTCGCGAGGTGATGAATCAATCCTTTGCCTCTTGCTCTTCCTCCCCCTCTTTCTTCTTGACGAGGAAGAGCAAGGAGGAACGGGAGAGCGAAGCAGGGAGAGGGAGGAGAGATGGAAGAGGACGGCGCGGAGAAACGAGGAGGACGGGAGGGGGAACGGGAGGGATGGAAGGAGGAGAGAGGAGGCAGAGGCGGAAGCGCTTCCTTCGAGGGTTGGCAGCGGTGAGAGGATGATGATGAAGGAAGAACGCGGCAGCAGCGCTCGCCAGGAGTGGGGGGGAGAGAAGAGAACGGAGAAAGGGAGGACGCGGAGGGAGGTTGGAGCAGGAGGCAACGCAGGACGGCGACGACGGTGTCGCCGACGACGCCAACGACGGCGGCGGCGGTGACGACGGCGGCGGTGGCGGCGGCGGTGACGACGACGACGACGACGACGACGACGACGACGACGACGACGACGACGACGACGGCGACGACGACGACGACGACGACGACGACGACGACGACTGCCACGACGACGGCAGCGACGACTGCAGGTAGGGGAACGAAGAATGACATAGACACAAAACTCGGAGGTCCGCGCGGATTTCTCGGATCCGCGCTGACCCCCGGAGCGCGCCAGGGGGCGCCAACGCGGATGCGAGAAATCCGCGTGGACCTCCGAATTATTATGTTTATGTCACTCTTCGTTCCCCTCGTAGCAGCGACGATGACGGCCGCGGCGGCAACGGCGTGCGCGGAAGAGCGCGACCTCTGCTGGCCGGAAGGCGAAGCGCAGCTGCTGCACCCCGCGCAGCACGGGGAGGATCGCCTCTCGACGGAGGAGCAGCGCGAGAAGGGAGGAGGAGGAGGAGGAGGAGCAGCAGCAGAAGGAGGAGGACCAGCAGGAGGAGGAGGAGGAGGAGGAGGAGGAGGAGGAGCAGGAGGAGCAGGAGGAGGAGGAGGAGGAGGACCAGCAGGAGGAGGAGGAGGAGCAGGAGGAGGAGCAGCAGCAGCAGCAGCAAGAGGAGGAGGACCAGCAGGAGGACCAGCAGGAGGAGGAGGAGCAGGAGGAGGATCCCTCCCGCGCCGAGCGGCCGCGCGGCGCCCGAGGCCTCCCCGGCGGCGGAGCAGCGGGGGAGGCCCGAGGTGCTCCAGAGGACGGGCCCGTGGTGCCCCAACGGACGACACCTTCGCGACAGGCCCATGGCACGCCACGATAAAACGACGCGAAGATCGGGACAAAGTCGGATGGGGATAACTCGAAATCTCTGAGAATCGGCGGGTTTGGAGGATGTATTGGGCGCCGCGGCCGCTCCAGAGCGTTCCGGAACGCTCTGAGAGCGCTCCGGAACGCTCTGATGCGATTTATCCCGATCCTCGCCCTGTTTTACACGAGTGGCCGATCCCGGGAACTCTGCAGCTTCCCCCCAGAAGCCTTTTGCTTCCGCGCCGGCTTCCGCCCGCGGGGGCGGCCTCGCTGTACCTCCGCCGCCTTCAGTCGAGAAAGGGATAGCAACTCCTTCGGTCCTCGACTGCAAGGCCCATCTTAGAGCGCGCCATATGGCAGGTTCTGGAAACCCTGAATCTGAAGCGCGTGGCATCTATTTTGGGGACGGTTTTGTTAACGTCTGCGTGCTTCCGCAAGCCTTCCGCCACCTTTCGCAAAGAAAGAGATGCTCACCTCGCGACCCCTCGAAGCCGACGCCCTTTCTGGAGCGCCCCACAGAACGCCAAGACGGCGCCAAGACGGCCGCAAATGACCTGGCTTTGTCTCAAGAGGATTATTTTCGGACCTCCAAGGCCCACAATTGCCGAACAAGGCTCCCGTACTCTCCCCGACATGCCCGGCATGCCCAGTGACAGCCAGCGAATGGGTAGTGAGAGGCCGAACCATTGAAACACCTGCGGTCTGCAATGCGCGGCGTTTCTCTCTTTGCTCCGCCTCCGGCCCCATCGTCGACAATGCTCGTTCGATGCTGCACCGTCGGCAATTCGGCCCGAAGAGGCCCCAGGGGGCGAAACGCGTTTGTAGCCTCTATTTCTTTTCGCCTGAGACTCGATCCCAAACAACTGCAACGCGCAATGTCTCTACTCTTCGGCGCTCCAGGCAGCGCTCGAGGCGGATCCAGAGAAACGGCCTCCAGGGGCACCCACGATGGCCTCCAAACGCCACCTCCTCCAGCTCCTGCTTCTGATCCTTCTGCTGCTGCTGCTGCTGCTCGTCCTCATCCTCTGCCTCGTCCTCCTCTCCTTCCCTCCCCTTCCATCTCCTCTCTTCTGCTTTCCTCCCCCGCCCGTCTCCTGAAATGCTCAAGCGCAGTGGCGTGCCAAGCCTGTGTGAAGTTGCGCGCTACGCTCATAGCCTCTATGAACATGCAGGTGTGGATGTGCGCCTGCTCAATACCTGCGGAGGGCGAGGCAATACTTCCTATCAGGGCTGGCTTGGGGCTCTAGGAGAAAGTTGGCACCTCAAGGGGACGTAGTCGAGGACGCGCAAATGCAATAGCGAGGCTTTCCTGCTACACCATTGCTGGAGTGCCAGACATTCTCTCGGCACGTGTTTCAGTGCTTCCTGTAGGCGCCAGGCCAGTGCGCATGCTGTGCGGATCGAGGCTCCAGTCTGCGAGCGCGGCCGCACACGACACAGCCCGCAGCATGCGATTCGGCTCGCGGCGTGAGCCCCGGGAGCTCAGGGGGGGGGGTGCCAGGGGAGCTCGGCAGGGGCCAGGAGGCGCCCCCTGAGTACGCCAGGAGGAGCAGGGAGGCCGCGCCCCCCACCCACAGACGCGCCGCCTGTCGTGAGCCATCGGGCGTCCGGGGCGCGCAGCAGCAGCAGCAGCAGCAGCAGCAGCAGCAGCAGCAGCAGCAGCAGCAGCAGCAGCAGCAGCCACGCCGGCGGCGGCGGTCGACGGGTGCAAGGGTGCGACGCCGGGCGGCCCCAAGGCCACTCGGTGCAGCGGTGTCTCCGACTGGGACCTGCCGCCTCGTGGAGTGCCCTCCCGGGGAGAGGAGGAGGAGGAGGAGGAGGAGGAGGAGGAGGAGGGGGGGGAGGAGGAGGAGGAGGAGGAGGAGGAGAGGAGGAGGAGGAGAGGAGGAGGAGGAGGGAGGAGGAGGAGGAGGAGGAGCAGGAGGAGGAGGAGGGAGGAGGAGGAGGAGGAGGGGGAGCAGGAGGAGGAGCAGGAGGAGGAGGAGCAGGAGGAGGAGGAGAAGGAGGAGGAGGAGGAAGAAGAGGAGGAGGAGGAAGAGGAGGAGGACGAGGTTGTGCTGCACATGTCGTGGGTTGTGGGCGGCCTCGGACGAAAAGTACCCCGGGGGGGCCCCTGGGGGGCCCCGGGGGGGCCCCGGACGAAAAGTACCCCGGCCGATCCCCGGCTAACCCCCGGGCGATCCCCAGGGAGGAGGCTATTTTTCGCCACCCCTCACGGGGATCGTGGCCTCCGAGGGGGGGGGCTGCCAACGACTACCCCCCCTCCCGCCCAAAGGGGCCCCCAAGAGCCCCCCAAGAGGCCCCAGGGGAGCCCGATACGACGCCAAGGAGCCCCAAGACGCTCCCAAGAAGCCCCCAAGAAGCCCCCAAGACGGCCCCCAGAGGCCCCAAATAGCGCTCCAGGGCCAGCGGAATGAGCGAAGCGGTTAAATAAAGAGGGTCTGGGTGATGGCATCCTGAAAATTATCGAGGAGGATGGAAACGGCCGGCACACATGCCCTAACTTGTTCCTTGGCAGCACGACGTGAAACGGAAGACAACCAGGCGAATCGAGAACGCGGCACGACTCCACCTGCCAGAAAACAAGCTCTTGCAAATAACCGTAGCCTCGAACACATGGCGATTCGCGCCGAGAGGACATGTGTCTGACTCCAGAAATCCTCGATCAAACAACGCTGATGTCTCGCGTTTACCTCCACCGCCTTCCGCTGACGGAGCCGCACCCGTTTCCCCTCCGCCGGCTTCGGCCACACTCGAAAGGGGAAGAGATGTCAATTCCTCGATCCCTCGAACGGGACACGGTATTAGCATCATTTCTCGGAGGTCCGCGCGAATTTCTTGGATCGGCGCTGGCTGGACTCGACTCCCCTCCCTGGTGCGCGAATCGCTCCAAGGGCCCCAGAGGCGCCGTCAGGGGGGGGGGGCCGGCACCGATCCAAGAAATCCGCGCAGGTCTCTGAGAAATCATGTTCATGCTGGTTTGGCTTGCTTGATTTCTGGAACATCCTCTCCTTCCCCGGGGCACTCCTGCAGACTGAATGTACGGTCGGGAGGTTTTGCTCAGCGTGTCGCCACGGCGGCCCTGGCGACATTCTCTGCCCTGGAAGCGGATAGCGTGTCGCTCCGCTCCGCGGGGCGCCAGGCGGGGAAAGGCTCAGGACGTTGACACTTGGGAGTGTGGACGTGGATAGCGTGTCACGCCACGCGTGGTGGCCCAGAACCGGCGGAGCCACACGCGAAGCCACACCTCCCGACCATACAGCGAGTTCCAGAACCCGTAATCCCCCCAACAAATGCGGCATCTCTTTGGGGGGCGATTCTTGTTTCCGCTGGCCTGCCGTCGGCTGGAGCCGCCCGCGTTTTGCTTCCGCCGGACTCCGCCAGCCTTCTGCCGGCCTTCCGCCGGGGAAGAGATGTCAACTTCTTCGACCTCTCCTAGGGCGAGGCCCTTTCCGGGGCGCGCCATCGCACAAACAGGCGACGCTATCTGCCGACGAGACCGTGTGCCCGAGGGAGGCGGAAAGCCGCGTGCCCCACCGAAGGACCAACCAGTGCAAGCCCTTCCCCTGATCGCGTGTCGCTGGAGGAGGCGGAGGAGGAGGAGGAGGAGGAGGAGCAGGGATGGAGGAGGAAGGAGAGAAGGGGGAGAAAGAGGAGGAGGAGGAGGAGGAGGAGGAGGAGGAGGAGGAGGAGGGGGAGAGGAGGAGGAGGAGGAGGAGGAGGAGGAGGAGGAGGAGGAGGAGGAGGAGGAGGAGGAGGAGGAGGAGGGAGGAAGTCCGACGAATCCCACGGAGGAGCCCCACGGGGCGGCCGTGACGCCCCAGCACGCCGGGCCCGGCAGCCCCCGCTCCTGCTCACGCTGGCTATCCGCCTGGGCGCGGCCTGGGCACGCCAAGGCCCGCGCTTCGCCCGAAGCACACTCAACACGTCCTCGTCGTCGTCCTCGTCGTCCTCGTCGTCGTCGTCGTCGTCGTCGTCGTCGTCGTCGCTCGAGATCCGCATGGGCAGCGCGACACGAGCGCGAAGACACGTGGGCGAACCCTGCGCGCCAGAGCGCAGCAGTCGTGGAACCACGTGGGTCCCTTTCGCTCGAGCCTTCCCCGCGCGGCACCCAGGAGTCGATGCCGGCTGCAGCTTTGGCCCAGACGCAGCCACGACCCCTGGCACACGGTGCGCCGAGGAGCCCATGGCCGTGCCCTCGCCCCTGTCCCATGGCTGCATCCCTTCTTGCTCGGGGCTTCCAGGCCGCGCTTCTCCCACTCCAGGTCCCTCATGAATCCCCTCCCCCCAAAAAAGCAACTTGACCCCCCCTCCAAAGGCGACCTGGTATTCTGGGCCCCCTCCTTCGACGGGGCGCCTTGATAAACGGGACCCCCTAAGCTCCAATCCAAGGAACGCGCCCTAATAAACCGGACCCCCCAGTTACAAACAAGGAGTCTAAAAAAACCGGACCCAGGGGACGATTAAGAAGGGATTTGGAATACTCCTCGACCCGCCCCTTTCACCTTTGCTGCTATTCGTGTGCTTTGCTGGGGTAAGTTTCGTTGCCCTTGGAAGCCCTCCCTGGCCACTCGAAAACACGCGACTCTCACCGCGGCAGCGGTCGGCCAAAGAGCAGTCGGTGGGCCGCGGTACTCGTCATGTGCTCTGGGATCCGCCGTGCTCCTGGCGGGTGCGGAGGAGGAGGAGCAGGAGGAGGAGGAGGAGGAGAAGGAAGAGACGGATGAGTATAGGAGGAGGCAAGGGGAGGTCAGATAAAAGGCAGCGACCTGAGGCCATATCAAACACCGAGCAACTACGAGGCGGCTCGGCAACGGCGGGGGGGGGGCGCTCAACTGGACGACACGACTGGCCCCCCCGAGAAGTGCAGCCCATCCCTCATCCCATCACTGCCGCAAGCCAATGGTGGGGGATGGGCCGCCTGGACTCTGCTGGCGAGGCCCGGCCTCCCCCATTGCCCATTGCCGCCCGCCCGCGCCCCGCACGGTGCAACAGCCGAGCTCGCTCACGCGGAGACCGCCTGCATGAGCACGACCTCGTACTACGTGGGCGCGATTAAAGTTTGGCCCAAGTTTGCGCCACTGCGGCGCGCTTGGCCACGATGCCATAGAATGTCGCAAGATACAGACGGACACGAAGGACATCTGGCGTGAACGCAGCATTGTGGTTTAAACGGGAGCAGCAACATACGCTCACCACCTACTTCAAAAACAGCAGCACGCCGACTTCGAACCTGGTCCGCACCTGATTCAGGAGGAAGTCCCGCGCGAAACGTTCGCTTTTCTATTGGTTCGACCCGACTTCGAACCTGGTTCGCACCTACTTTGCGAGGAAATCCCGCACGACACACTCACTTTTCCACTGCTTCGAATCGAATTCGAACCTGGTTCGAACCTGCTTTCCGAAGAAGTTCCGCTCGAACCGCTCCCTTTTCTACTGTCTCGAACCGACTTCTATTGTTTCGAACAGACTTCCGATCCTGGTTCGATTTTTTTTGGGAAGAAGCTCCACGCTGTTCGCGGTGTTCGAATCGCCACCCCATTTAGCTGTATATAAATTTAATTGGGAATACACGTCCGAGGTTGCCCGTCCCCTGCTGGCGCAGCTCCACTCCAATCGCCGTGTGCCAGGCTCCGCGCGCCTAACGGGGCACCTCTGGTCCACGCTGCGCCAGCGTGTCAAAGATGTGGCGATGTTTGTTTCTGCATGTTGTACTGTGCGTTTGCCCAGTGGATGATTGTGCATATTGTACAATTCGTTTGAGAGGAAGAGGAGAGGCAGCAGCAGCAGGAAAAGACAATCGGCGAGGAGGAGGAGGAGGAGGAGGAGGAGGCAAGGGGCGGATGAAGAAGAGGAGGAGGACCAGTGTAAGCACAAGATGTGTCAACGATGTTGCAATCCACTGTCCCGTCCCTGCGGCCCCCCCCTGAAAAGGCCAACGCCCTATGAGCTGCAGTTCCAGCGAAAGCCCCGTTTCGGAAAGAAGCTGCTTTGCATCCTGCGAGAGAGCAAATAGCACATCCCAGGTATGATGACACCGCCCAACCAGGTTTCCAACGATGCCCTACCATTTTGAACCATGACAACCCCCAACTGTGCAAATGTTGCGCAAGCTTGCGCGTCTGGTCAAGCACCCCAAGGACGCCTCAAACGAAAGACCCAACTTGAAAAAGAAACACCCGCCATCAATCTGCGCAGATTTCGCGCATCTTCAAGATCCGGGTCATACATGTTAGGGACATCTCTGGCGAGAACCCCATCTTGAAAACGACTTGTGCTTCATCCGTGTAACGGTTGCAAGCCTTTCAAACGAATGCGCGCAGCGCTGAAGGAAAAACCGAACTTTGGAAACGACCTTTTCTCCATCCTTTAAAATGCAGTAAGCTTTTGCGACGGATGTGCGCAACGCTGCGGCAAACACTCAAGTTTGAAAACGGCCCGTGATCAGC